AGGCTGGCGCAAGAGAATCACTTGAACCCGGGAGTTGGAGGTTGCAGTGAGCCGAGATTGCACCAGTGCACTGCAACCCGGGTGACAGATCAAGGCTCCATCTCAAAAAAAAAAAAAAAAAAAGCTACCTGGTTGTTTGCCATTATTATGCTGTTTTATTCTTTTATTTTATAGAGCTAGGATTTCATTCTACTGAGCAGTCTAGGGAAATATAAAGATACAGTAAGGCCAGGTGTAGTGTGGCTCATGCCTGTAATCCCAGCACTCTGGGAGTCCGAGGTGGGTGGATCACTTGAGGTCAGGAGTTTGAGACCAGCCTGGCCAACATGGTGAAATCCTGTCTCTACTAAAAATACGAAAAATTAGCCAGGCATGGTGGCAGCCGCCTGTAATCCCACCTACTTGGGAGGCTGAGGTAGGAGAATTGCTTGAACCTGGGAGGCAGAGATTGCAGTGAGCCAAGATCATGTCATTGCACTCCAGCCTGGACAACAAGAGCAAAACTCCATCTCAAAAACAAAACAAAACCAACAAAAAACCACACAAAACCCCCAAAGAGATATGATAAAAAATTTAAAAAAGAAATGGGGTTTTGCCATGTTGGCCAGGCTAGTCTTGAACTCCTGGGATCAAGCAATCTGCCTGTCATGGCCTTCTATAGTGCTGGGATTACAGGCGTAAGACACTGAGCCCAGCCTATTATGCCCTTTAATCATTTTGTGACTTTATCTCCTGGCCTGGTGGAGGCCTGAGTCTCCTTCTTGGCCCCTTTCCTGGGTCCTCCCTGGGCTCCTGGACCCAGTCCTGCCCTCTCCAATCCACATTCCACATGGCAGCCACCCAGAGCTTTCCGCAGTGATATTAAGTGCTTCCCTGCTCAGGTGCCTCCCGAAATCCTGAAATGCCCTGTGATAAAACCCACGCTTCTCATGCCAGCCTTCCAGGACCCTTGGGATCTGGCTTTCCCTCTCCAGCCTCCGCTGAAGGCTTTGCCCTCTTCACCCAAAACACTTTATTTTTTTTTTTTTGAGACAGAGTCTCACTCTGTTGCCCAGCTGGAGTGCAGTGGCACCATCGTGGCTCACTGCAACCTCCACCTCCTGGGTTCAAGCGGTTCTCCTGCCTCAGCTTCCCGAGTAGCTGGGACTACAGTCACCCGCAACCATGCCCGGCTAATTTTTTTTGTATTTTTTTAGTAGAGACGGAGTTTCGGCACATTGACCAGGCTGGTCTCCAACTCCTGACCTCAGGTGATCCACCTGCCTCAGCCTCTGAAAGTGCTGGGATTACAGATGTGAACCACAGCGCCCAGCCCCCACTGCACTTCTTTCAGTTCCTCAAATGCATGGTGCTGCTTCCTGCCTCCTGGCCTTTGCACGTGCTGTCCCCTCTGCCAGGAACACCCTTCACCCTCTTTCCCCGGTCCCCCCAGTCACTTGTACTTCCTCTGTCACAGCCCTCCTTATGCTGACCTGCAGCAAACCAAGCACCCTGTGGGTCTAGGGACTGTGTCATATTTACTGCCATCTCCCTGACCCCCTTTTTTTTTTTTTGAGATGGAGTTTCACTCTTGTTGCCCAGGCTGGAGTGCAGTGGCGTGATGTCTGCTCACTGCAACCTCTGCCTTCAAGGTTCAAGCGATTCTCCTGCCTCAGCCTCCCAAGTATCTGGGATTACAAGTGCCTGCCACCATGCCTGGCTAATTTTTATGTTTTTAGGAGAGACGGGGTTTCTCCATGTTGGTCAAGCTGGTCTTGAACTCCTGACCTCAGGTGATTTGCCCACCTCGGCCTCCCAAAGTGCTGGGATTATAGGCATGAGCCACCATGCCTGGCCTTGTCCTGTCCACATTGATGGGGAAACTGAGGCAATTTTAGGCAACTGGGCCAGGATCACACAGCTAGTAGGTAGAGAAGGTTGAATTTTTACCTGAGTCTGATCCAGACACTGCAAAATTCAATGCTAGTCTAAGTACTTCCTATATAATATCTCATTTAATTATCACAAGAGCCCTAGGGCAAGCACTACCAGTTTCGTCTCCACCTTACACATATTTGGGTACACAGATGACAAGGCATTTGGCCACACAGGCTGTAAGCTTGAATGTGGGAAGGCTGGCTCCAGAGTTCATGCCTGTCAAGACTCTTAGCCCTACAGAACCATTGTGAACTCCAGTTATTGCAAGCCCTTTCTCTTTCTTTTTCTTCCTTCCTTCCTTCCTTTTTGTTTCCTACTTTTTCTCTTCTTTCTTTTCTTTCTTTTCTTTTGCCTCCCTCCCTCTCTCTCTCTCTCTCTCTCTCCCTCCCCTCTCTCCTCTCTGTCTTTCTCTGTCACCCAGGCTGGAGTGCAATGGTGCAGTGGCAAGATCTCGGCTCACTGCAACCTCCACCTCCCAAGTTCAAGCGATTCTTGTGCCTCAGCCTCCCAGGTAGCTGGGACTACAGGTGTGTGCCACGACACCCGGACTCTTTTTCTTTCTTTTTAATTAATTAATTTATTTTTTTCATTTTAGAGACAGGGTCTCACTAGGTCACCCAGGCTGGAGCGCAGTGGCACAAACACAGCTCACTGTAGACTTCAACTCCTGAGCTCAAGCAATCCTCTCATTTCAGCCTTCTGAGTAGCTGGGACTACAGCATGCATCACCACACCCAGCTAATTTATTTTTATTTTTTATATTTTTGTAGAGATGGGATCTTGCCTGTTGCCCAGGCTAGTCTCAAACTCCTGGCCTCAAGCTATCCTCCTGCCTTGGCCTCCCAAAGTGCTGGGATTACAGGAATGAGCCACTGTGCCTGGCCTGCCCTTCCTTTGGCTATTGGGGACAGCAAAGCTGAGAGCTGGGAAGAGATTTTTCGGCACCACAGCTTTGAAGCTCCGTGGGCTCCAGTTCTCAACTCCCCTGAGTGCAGTCCCAGCTATGACCAGCAGGGTGAGTGGAATTCAGTGGTTTTCCAGGTGACTCAGCACCTCTCAACTTCCCTCTTATTTCCTTCTCCAGTACTCTCCAATAAATGCTTATCAGCAAATTGGTTCTTACTGAGGCCCACAGCTCCCCACTCTCCACAAGTCACGATGCTCACGTGGTCTGCCTGGGGATGGGAAGAGGTATGGGCCTAGTGAAGAACTTTCATATTCCCTCCAAGGGAGACAGCAGAGTGGGGTCCTGGCGTCCTCCACCCTTTTGGGGCATGCAGATAGTCAATATCTTTAGAGTCACCAAGGCCTGCTGGGGTGGGGCCCCATATCTGGAAGTCCCAGGCCCAGCTGGGAGTTGGTCAAGTCTGGGCTGTGGGGACAGGGGGTGCTGGGAGATGGTTGTCTCCTTTCCTGCCCTCTCTCCTGGGGCACCTTCAAATTTTCAGCCCTCAGTGGCTTTCCCAGGACTGCTGTCCCCAAGTCTTCACTCACGTCTCTCTGTGACTCCTTCCCATTAGGTACTCAAAGCAATCTGAGCCCCCAACTTTTTCATTTTCCAGCTCTCGTGCACCAGCCAAGAGCCTGAGGACTCGTGATTAAGAGCATGAGCTGTGTTCAAATCCCAGCCCTGTCAGTTACCAGCTGTGTGATATTGGGCAAGTCACTCTCTGGGCCTCAGTCTTCTCATCTGTCAAGTGGGGTAACAGAAATTCCCATTCCATTTTGAGAGCTCCCATGTGAAGAGACGACAGAGCAAGACTGGCTTGCGAACAAACACCACCTCGACCACAGTAATGACAACGGCATTGCATAAGAGCCCTGGACTTACTTACATACACACACGGCTGTGCCTCCCAGGGCTCCCATGGTCGATTCCTCTCTGCCTTGAACTCACATAAACTTGGATCTCACAACTTTCCCCATTTCTGCCCCCGTTGCCACGTGCTTTGGCCCCCGAGTCCTCACCTGGCTGGGGCGCTCAAGGCTCCAGCCAGCCTCGGCCCGGCCCCATGGTGCCCCTTCCTAAAGCTCTGCCCGTCTTTCCCCTGACATGCCCCGCCCGCCCCAGCTCATGCCTGCTTGCACCGCCTGCGCCAGAGTGGTGAGCCCGGTCTGGCCAGTGGCACCGAAGATCGCGATCTTCTTGACGGCCATCCTGCGGGGTCGTGGGAGTGCAAGGCCTGAGAGTCTCAGCACACGCGGGAACCCACTGGCTGCTGGGCGGCGCTCTCTGCCCTACTCGTGCAGGAACAACGGGGCGGAGCTGGCTCTCAGGGCCACTCCTCAGCCCCGCTCCGCCCGCGGCTGAAGTCGAGGGGCGGAGCCTAACGCGGGTGGGCAGGACAGGAGTCAGCTAGCGTTCGCTCTTCGCTCAGCACCGCGCTCTCTGCCCGCCACTTAGACTGGGAGGCGGGGCCACAGAAGGCCACGCCTCCACGTAGCTGCAAATAGAGTGGGCGGAGCCGGGATAACGTCGCTCAGCGCCCTGCCTCCGTGCTCTACTCCCAGGAGGGGCGAGGCCAGGCGAGCCACGCCCACGGGCTCTCGTAGCTCCCGCCCTCTCTCCCAGCTCCAGGAGGGATCTGGGGCGCACGCTAAGCCCCAGGGCCTCTCAGAACCAGCAAGGGGAGAAAGTGAGGGAGGACCGAGTGCGTGTGTGCACTTGCATGTAAGGCACTGTGTCACTGCGTATCTATGCACTTATATGACCTGTGTGACTCTCAGTGACTAGGAGGGCAAGCATGACTGTGGCAACACCTCGTGTCATCCTCCGTGTGTGATCCCGTGTTAAAGTGTGACTACACGTGCATGACACCACATGTGGCAGGCATTGATTCTGTTCTTTTGTGACCTTATGGTGACACGGTGGGTGACACTGTGTCAGCCTGTGCGGTAGGGTGTGGGACATGTGAGGTGTGTTACATGGAAGCGTGCGACTATTAGACCGTAACAGCGTGTGACACCACATGTCTCAAGTGAGGATGTGTGACACGGGGGCCCCATTCTTGTGTGTGGCTGTGGGTGTCTCTGTTGTGCTGCTGTTTGCGAACCCCTGGGACTATGATGTGTGCGGTGCCACGATGCAGGCTCGAGTGTGTAGAGTGTGTGACACTGTGGCTGTGACACTGGGCGCGATTTATGGGCCTATGACACTGCTGGTGATTGCGGGGAGTGTGCGGTTGTGTGTGACAGGTGCGTTTGTGTGTGACGCCGCGTGGGCGGTGGTGACTATTGGAGTATGTGGTGGTGGGTGACACGGTTCCAGTGTGAACGCCGCGTGTGACAGCGTGAGGGTGTGACCCCGTGGGACCCCACAGGAGGGAGTGACGGCGCACGAGCGCGTGGATGCGGGGGTGAGTTTCTGCGCCGAGGCCCCCGCGAGTGTGGCAGCGTGGCAAGCGTGACCCCGTGGGAGTGTGCAGCGCGTGACGCCGCCGTGCCCGTGCAGCCGTGCACCCCACGCCGCGGCCGGGTGTGACTGCGCGTGGGCCTCGGGAGGCTGGGCGCGGGGACCGCGGGCGGGAGGGGGTCCCGGGGGCGCGCGGAACGCGGCGGCGGCGCGAGCGAGGGAGGCGCGGCGGCGCATGCGGATCTGGCCGAGCCGCGGGCCGGCAGGGCCGAGCTGAGCCGGGCTGGGCCGGGCCGGGCCGGGCCAGGCCGGGCCGCGGACGCCGACAGGGAGGGCGGTGCGGCGCGGCGAGCAGCAGGGACAGCGGCGCCAGCGGCCGCCGGCCCAGGTGAGCGGAGAGGGGGCCAACAGCCCCTCCCCCAGCATGTCCCCACCTGCCGAGCATCCCTCCTCCGCACGCGCCGGGCATGGCCGGAGCCCCAGGTCTCCTCGGCTGGAGGGAGGCAGAGGGTCGAGGGCAGGACGAGGCCCCAACCCCCACCTGGCCCAGCCTCCGCGCCACGCGTGGGTCTTACCCTCAGCCCATGTCCTTCCCAGGCCCCCTCCTTGGGCGCGGTGTCTGGACCTCAGGGAGAGGCGGGGCCTTGGACGGGTTAAAGCCTCTGATGCCACCGCAACCCAGAGCCCCCCCAGCCTTTGTGGGGGGGCCTCCTCACAGGATAACCCTTCCCGGCTCTCCCCCACTACCTGCTTTCTTCCTTCCCATTCAATCACGTAATGGCCAGAGCTGATCCTCGGCCTGGCAGAGTGCTCAGGAGTGCTAAGGGCCTCCCCATCCCTAAGTGTCCTCCACTGAAGAAAACAGTTGTAACCACCGTTTAACAGGGAGGAAAACTGAGGCACAGAGAGGCCAAGTTAAAGATACTCGGTTAAAGATACAGCAAGAATAAAGCGGGACTTGAACTCATTTCTGTCTCACTCCAGATCAGGCACACGGATTTGCTGAGATATGTGAGGGAAAGATGATGGTAGCAAGCAACATGGATCCAGGGCTTGCCGTGTACCTATACCATGATCCTTGCATTATTAACTTACTTCTTCAAACACCACTAAGACATGGGTATGATTATCATTATCACTACCTCTTTTTTTTTTTTTGTTTTTGAGACGGAGTTTCCCTCTTGTCGCCTAAGCTGGAGTGCAATGGTGCGATCTCGGCTCACTGCAACCTCTGCCTCCCGGCTTCAAGCAATTCTCCTGCCTCAGCCTCCTAAGTTGCTGGGATTACAAGCATGAGCCACCATATCTGGCTAATTTTGAATTTTTAGTGAAGACAGGGTTTCACTATGTTGGTAAAGCTGGTCTCCAACTACTGACCTCAGATGATCCGCCCACCTGCTCGGCGTCCCAAAGTGCTGGGTTTACAGGCCAGAGCCACCACCCAGCCTACCTTTTTTTTTTTTTTTTTTTTTTTTGAGAGGACATCTTGCTCTTGTTGTCTGGGCTGGAGTGCAGTGGCACCATCTCGGCTCATTGCAACCTCCGCTCCTGTGTTCAAGCAATTCTCCTGCCTCAGCCTCCCTAGTAGCTGGGATTACCTGTGCCCACCACCACACCTGGCTAATTTTTGTATTTTTAGTAGAGATGTGTTTTCACCATGTTGGCCAGGCTGGTCTCAAACTCCTGACCTTGGGTGAACCACCCGTCTTGGCCTCCCAAAGTGCTGGGATTACAGGCGTGAACCAATATGCCTGGCCTACCCCTTTTTTTTTTTTTTTTTTTTT